ACTTCTCACTCGCACCTATTGTAACGCGTTTCCGAATTCTCGCCTTTTGTGAATATTATCTTCAGTCTGGCGCTAACCGCCTATTACTCAGCAAGTCGACCACCTGACTTGCTTTTCACTTTTGTATATATTTCTAGACGCGATTGAATAAACGACAATTAAGACAACTAATTGTTTAGTAGTGAATTGATTAAACTTCCTGACAACACCTCAATTCCTACATCCCCCCCCCCTGTAGGGATTGAGGAGTTTTCGGGAAGGTAACAATCCACTAACAAATGCAATTTAACTTATAATCACAAATTTATTATCCGCGTCAAAATAATACAAACGTGAAAAGAAAATGATATGATCCGATCAAATGTGCGATACAAGCTGTACTGCTAGACTGAATTATATTCGCACAGAAAGGTGTCAGCGAGACTGCCGAATATCCTTACGATTTGACGAATCAGGAAAGAATACGCGTGGCACTGAAGGTGCGAGTGAGACGGCAAATGCCTGTACTCGTCGTTAGCCAGTGTTCGCGTTTTAGGATGTAGCGAGGCGCTACATGACTCCCCTGCTTGAAGTAAAAAACGTAGTTTTTTTGAATCTGCAACAGAAAATAATTATTCTAGGAACAGGAAAATTTGTCAGGTTTGGCAAGCAGGTGAAGAACAAAAAAAATTTGAATGAGGAGACTTAGACGTGGTAGACGTGAATTGTCGGTCTGTTGGCAAATGTTACGCCTCCTGCGTCTTCCAGCAGCGGGTGCCGTGCTCGTGCTCGGCTGCGGCTGTCCTGTTGTTGAGGCTCGTCGGGTACTTCTTGGTGCGGAGTCTGTCCTGGAATCTGATTCATGTCCTCCGGCAGTATGTACGCTGGTTTCAGTCGGTCGATGGAGATCGGTGTGTTCTTGTAGTTTCCCAAACCTCCGGACTTGAACCAGATGACGAAATATTTGTCGTGGCGACTGATGACGCGAAATGGGCCGGTATGGTGGTCGGTATGCCATTCGCACGTGGTCGTCGCGAACGAAAACATGCGTACACGTTGATAAGTACTTGAAGATGAACGTTGAACGTATACCATGGTGTGCAGCCGGAAAAGGCGCGATTGTACGAAAATATTTGCGTA